TGCAGAGAGAAATGAAGTTGAATAAATTAGTTTAATATATTTCTTTAAGCCATTGTTGTTTAGATGGTTGTAAAACAAACGGCAACCACAAGAAAGACAACAGGATGATTACGGAATTTGGACAGTAAAACTGAAGCATACGCGATGTAATATTTCAAGAAGAAAAAATTTGCATACATTGTTTAAATACCGGTTTCGCTTTTTGTGTTATTGCCGCCGGATTATACTGTTCACAGTCCCCTATTTTTATCGTGAGATCGTTTAGATATACCGCGTCTTACCGTCACGGGTATCTTGATTTTCAAATGTACCGAGGGGGCGGGCGTCGGGGATTATAGCTCTGGCGCGGGGGACGGAGAACCGAGAAGAATAGAGGGACTGTAATAATATCACTGCATCTCGCGTTCACGAAGCGCGTTGTACCAGCAACCGGGCGTTTGATTGGTCATTAGACAATAGAAGTTAATTTACGTTGACAACAGGTTTAATCTAAGTTGCCGACATTGACAAGTCGTTGACAAGTCGACGTTTCCATAAAACGTACGCTTTCATACCATAAGGCACATCTTGCGCAAACACACGAAGGATTTTTGGTATTTTGATTAGGAAAATGTTTTCTTGTGCATGTTTGCCGATTTTATTTCAAGGAATGGCCCAGAAACATTATGAAATCACTGTTTCGCAAGGAGATATTTGTAAACACGCGTAATCGATGCTAAATGTGTCTGGCATGTTTCTCATCACCAGCGGAGTTCTTAATTAATGAGTGGTAAAAGGTGTGAAATTCCTGTCATGCCTCCTGAACGCGAGCTGCAGTGATGTTATTACAGTCCCTCGATTTTTCTCGCTTCCTCCCAAACCGCCCCCGCCCCCTAAGTAGTTTTGACACTCATGCAAGATGGCAGCCCGTAACACAAAGCGCTCGACCTCGATGATGTTATGGAAAAATAGACGACTGTGAACAGTCTACGGGCGGATCAATTAAGCAACATTGAAACCGTATTGGAATTTTGGTAGATCTAGAAAAGCAGGCTGGTTTTCATTTGATCACTATTGCAATCGCTAAAAAATAAATACAATTTAGCGATCCTGGCACTTGATGATTTCTACTTGATCGCTGCGATTGCTGCGATCGGCGAGAAAGTGACTAAAGTCCGAAAGATCACTGTTTCTGAGAAAATTGCAAATGTGTTTTAAATTAAGGCAG